AGCAAAAAACATAGTTTGGCAACGATCATCGCAAAAAATCACAACTTAATCATTTTAAATATACTTTTTTATGAAAATGAAAATAATTTGTATCAGTATTTGCAAATAGTTTGGCCCTAGCAGGAACATGATGAAATTATTTACAGATATTATCAGATAAACAAAAGACTTAAACATCTACCTGATTGTGATATTCAAATGTGTGTCCTCAGCAATTGGCTTCATGTTATGACATGCAGCAACCTGGAGCCTGAAGCATTTATCTGAATATGAGGTCAGATATAAGCAGGTTTGACAACTTTCGAATGATATGAAGGTGGTAAGTGTTACACAACCCTTTAAAGTCCTGTATGGGAAATAATTCACTGTTGATGACTACTGGCAACAGTCGTCATTCAGTCAACTGGTTTTGGCGTAATTCCTTGAAAATGCTCTGTGGTTTTGGCAGCAGATTACTTTAGAACATAGTTAGGAAAATCCCACTTTTACTAAATGTCTTATGTCACATTAATTTAAAACGATGGAAGAATACAAGACATTTAAGGGAGAGTATCACATTTGCAACATAACCCCCCTTGTGTGTTCACTGTTCCTATCTGTTTCCTGTCACTTTCTGAATCTTGTTGACTCACTCACTCAACCTGTCTGGGTAGCCCGATGTTGTGCACTGTATGTGGGTGGGATGAAAAGACTCAGACAAATGACAGGAAGAGGCCAACAGGTGCGGCTGGTTCTCCGATCTGTTCATCTGTACACTCCCTGACCTGTTGAAACCCCTCCAGGCCACATATACGCTTCCATAAACATTGTTAGGGCTGGGTGAAATAGAGAAAATCTCAATATTTTGGAACAATATTGAAGGTTGACCATTGGGGCTTTCACAAAATATTCACAGAATGAAAATAATCATCAGTAATGTTGATATAATGACTTAAAGTCATTAATAATACAGCTACACTGGTAGTACTAGTTTCACAAAGTAATGTTACTATACTTTTACCCAATGAAATGTATCAAAACAGAAAGTCAAACCTGCTTGTCACATTGAAACTCGACTTCACAAATTTAAAATAATGACAGTATCTTTTCAAAGCATCCACTCGCCTCCTCCATTCTCAAAGTCTCGTCCTCTTTTCTCCAAGCTCCCATTTGTCTCACTTACAGCAGCTGTTGCTAGGCAACAGCTCATACCCACATATGCATGATTACTTATATCATAAAATGTTGTCAATGAAAAGATTTAGTTATAAAAAGATCATGTACCTGCCTTTATGATCACTAGTTTGGTGATTTAAAGGTGAAATTAAAGAAAGTGCACTGTACACTTGGACCATTAGACTGTTTAATGATAAATACATTAAAACACTACGTCTAGCACTTCTTATCAAGATTTCATGATCAAGTCAATTGGCTTAAGTTGACAATAATGACCTTTTTGAAAACATGTACGACCAAATGTATGTTCTGCCATTAGATAAACACCATCCAAACAACTAGAGAAGCAGTCTTTCTGAAAACCCTCAGATCTCAGGCTCCCAACAACAGCGCTCAATTAGTCACGTTCTTAAACCATGAGTGAAGACAAGCCAAAAGCTCACCAAACATTTCTTTAGGGAATCAGATTACAACAACAACTAAAAACAGGTGCAATGCACAGGGCTTCATGTCAGCTTTTGTTACAGAATGAATGAATGCAGCAGGTGAGCGCTGAATGAAAGGCCGGGACGAGAGAAAAAAAAGTTTAGCGTAGACAGTCTGAACAAAAGACGTGTGTTATAGATTATGAGGACATACCATATAAATTCCTTCACACTCAACTAATCATGCATAGACAAATACAACAGGACCAGTTCACGTTAGGACCTGCAGTGAGAAGGGGTGTGGGAGCATTTTTTAAAGCGCCATGTGTGGGAGGACAGACAGGACCAGCTCTTTCTACTTCTGTTTCTCCACAGTGACACAACAAAGAGGATCAAAAACCCAGACCACAATATGATGTACAATTCAGTAATGACTGCCCATAACGAAATTAAATCACAGTTTGAAGTAATGGCTGTGTCCCGTGTATTTGCTGTTTGGGTATTTATTTGTAGCTGTCCAGGCATTAAGAATAGCTGCCTGATTATTGTAACATAATGTCATGAGGAACACTGTGAGGTGTGTTCCAAAAACATCATGTGTTTACATGCAAAAAGGTACCCTGCATCGACGGATGATCATAAACCTAGATAATATCATGTGTACAGGGGAATGAAAAAAAAGGTAACTCATCCTCGATTTAATCCAAATATGATCCGAACAAGGATAAGGATTTTCTTCTCAATCATCATGATCACAGTGTTACGCAACATTATAATTTCCCTACTGCTTGTAAACCCAAGGGAACATCAGCTTCCTTTATCATTGTGGGGATTTTCCAAATAAATGACAGCCCTTACAAGACCAGAGGAAAGAGAACCAGGCAGAAAATGTCTCTTCCTGTGACCTTCTGCTTCAGCCATCCATCACTGTGATGGGATTTTTTTAGCAGCAAATTGAATGTCTGTCTCTCTCCGCTCTCTTTCTTTCATTACACTGTTTTCATTCAAATCGCAAATGTTTGAGTGGCACAACGTTCAACAAAGAGGATAAGTTGTTTCTGAGAGTGGAAGAGGGAAGAAACCAAATGAGAGCAAATAAGCAACAGATGCTGAGACAACCAGAAACAGTTAGAGAAAACAACATTTGTCTATAAACAGCTTTGGCTTCTTTGCAGTAAAATGCTGAAAAAAGCACTACCAGCCCTTCTTTTGACATATTTAACAGGGGATCCCTGGCCTATATATGCTATTAGAATCTCATCTTCTAATTTCCCATCGGCCTATACACAGGAGTGGACTGAGTGAGGCTACAACCCTCAAGCGGGCATGCAAGGGGCCGAAGAGCTGGATCTGTGCCCAGGATACAAGCTCTATCCCTGCAGAGAGACAGTGTACTCCTCTCCCTGATGCCTCTGTGAGCTGCTGCTTCTGCAAGGGCATCTCCTCTCCAATCTACCACCAGTGGATGACAGGGCCTCCTCCATGAGAAAAGACTGCACCCAACCTGTATGCCATGCTGCAACACTGTTTCACGCACAGGAAGGTCCCATCATACACTCTCACTTGTTATAAGGCCACATTCAAATGAGTGCCCCCTTCTTTTACAGTGCACTTCAGACTGTTGATTAAGCATGCTGAAAATCACTTATCATTTTTACACTGGAGCAAAATGGATCCTCACTATGCGTGGCAATGAGTGTCCCTCTTCTCATATGCACTGAGCCAATCCACATTCGGAAAACCAGACACATCGGAACCACTGACAGACGCGTGTCCTCCAGCAAATGCATTAGATGCAAATAAATGTTTTAATAACAAACCAAAAAATGACATTTAAAAGAAAATACTTGGAATATGATTAAAGGGTTTAGAAAATGGACCAAAATTGAAGAAAAACGCCATCATGCTGTTGAACACATGGACGAGTAACAATGTATTATTTTCTCTGTAGATGCCACCACAACATGAGGGGACTGTTCGGTCCCCATCCAAAAAAATCATGCGTAAAATAAGGTGTGCCATTTTTGCGCACCGCTGTGATGTGCCTGTGAGGAGCAGCCTTACCTGAATCGGGGGGAATCTTTTATACATTCTTCAAAGTCCACCGTCATTTTTGCGTTTTTCTCGTGTATTCCTACTTCAGTTTGCCAATGTCATTACCCGCTGAGGGATGTCGCTTGAACTGTGCGGATGGTGACTGGTCGGTGTCCCCTGACGCGCAGCAGTCTGTCGCCCCTCTCCCGGTGGCACCGTGACACAAACTGCGAGGTCTGTGCGCGGCAGGCGGATTACTACTACAATGCTGCCGCTGCTGCGAGACAGGCGAGAGACGTAGCTGCACCGCGGAGACTGAAAGAGTGGAAGAGAGCGCCGACTAGTTACAACCTGCCGTAACACATCTGGAGAACAGGAGGAATCATGGGAGAAACCTCACTCAAACCCATGGAGCCCCAATCAGTATAACAGAAAATATATTTCACACACATTCATTTCCATATGCAATGCTTGCGATGTGTTTCTTGCACAAAAAATAGTCCACATAAAGGTAACACATTTAGAAATGAGAGAATATGAGCATAGTCTTTCGGGTCGTTTACAAATGTAGAGCATTGGGTACTACTAAATCCAATTATTATGCCAAAACTCAGATAAAACATAACTAAAACATTTAGCAGTTTGAACAAAGCAGAGTATTGATTATATTCTACTTTTTGATTGTCAAAAGTTAGCCTTTTAGCTTTTTGAAAATCCACATTTCTAACAAATGAATCTCTGATTTACCTGAAGTGTTGTGTAGCCTAAATTCAGTGTAGCATATTTGTCAGCATTTTAAACAAATACAATTAATGTCAGGAAGCGTATCTTGGTACGCCTCTGTTACTGATCTAAAATCAGTTGTTGCTCGTGTTGATTATCTTTATACCGACCCATCTCCACTACTGTATCGTCTCTGAACGCGATGATTCTCAAGGCAGATGGCTTTGCGGCTGGTCGAGGATGACGTCGACACACACACCCCCTCTTTGGATTATGACGCAAACAAAAAGGGACCGACAGGGCTGCAAACCCCTTGGAACATGTTTTGCCTTAACTTTACATGAATGCTTACATATGTTGGTAATTTATTATAGGATAAATGATCAGACGTCTCTTCCGGACTACAGATATAACTAGGCTACTCGGAAATGCGGCACGTGTCAACAGTCTGCCTGCTCGCGCCTGCTGTGTTGTCCCTGCTGTAATTTGTCGCATCTGAGTGCCTCTCCTGCAGGTTTTAAAGATAGATAGATCGTACTTTATTGATCCCAAATTGGGAAATTGTAAAGTCGTCCTTCACCGGCTCCCAGTACCCGTCATTACCATAGACGCGTTAATGTCAACGTTGTGACAGTAAAAATAATATTTTACAATGTCCCCTTCCACTTCTGTTGACGCATGACCAATTGGTATCACATTATGATAAGGAAGTGACATTTAGAGACATCATGCACAACTGTGCACGCTATCTCATCTTCTTTCAATACATTGGAACAAAATACAGGTAGGTTATGTAATAATGCATGATATCTGGTTGCACTCAAAGGTGTGTTATTAGTTATTATTTATTATATAATTATTATCTCTACAGTGGTGTAGTGAAAGTGCCTCAACATGATGTTCTTAAGAAAGGGGTCCAGGACCACTTGGAGGTAAGTTTTGTAAACGTTTTGAGTTCTAATTATCCTTCCATACATGTTTCCTCTTTCCTTCTTTCTGTCATTGTTGGTCCTGCAAACCAGAAAATAAGTTAACTAAGTTGCTATTCGAGTATAACTTCGTTGTAAAGTTGCCTGAATACCAAATATCATTGGGACAACAACACATATCATACAGGCAGATTACAATGTGCAATCATCAGTCAAATATTGTGTAGATTGAAGTAATGCAATCCTACTGTCCTGTAATAACTCCTCTCTCCACGAGAGTTAAAGTGTTCAGTTTGAGTTAGTTGGTAAACTTAACAGGTTGAGTGAAAAGACACACAGGAAGAAACACATCCTGCTGCTTACATTTATGCATAATTCACCTTTCCTGGTTTAATTTAAGTTTTTTAGTATGTTTAGTTTTGGTATGTGTTGGAGTTTGTTTTTGGCATGGTTGTATGTAAGTGAATGGTTTTATTTGGTATAAATGTATGGGTGCATGTGTGTACATAGATTAGGGCTGCTAATAAGCTCAACTCCCCTTTCTGACTATTTGTTGTAAGCTATGATTGTTTTTAAAAGACCAAAATAGATTTTCTTTAACAATACATGAGCCAACAGCTTATTTTTAACCTCTCTGATGTTCTCTTTCTCCGTGTACAGGATGCAATAAGGAGGCTGAAGCCAATCAACCCAGTGTCTCTGTCAGTTTCCAGCAGGACAGACAGTGGCGTCCACGCCCTCTCTAACTCCGCTCACTTTGACCTCCAACGCAAGAACGATAAGCCGCCATTTGCCGAAGACATTATTGTTCTGGCTCTTAATAACCATCTCAAAGAAGAGCAGATTGGGTGAGTCTGGACTCCTTAGATGAGTGTGATATTCAACAGTAGAGATGATCTCCTCACACAAGGGTTAAATGTAACACAGGGTCATGCACTGAGAATGTATCCAACAAGATTAAGCCACTCATACTGAACAACACATTTCTCTGGCTTGTGAAATCAGAGGACTCACAGCACATTTTATACTAGCAATGATAAATGGAAAGAGACACAGAGTTTCCTGTCGAAATTATTATCAACAGGTGTTATATGTAGATTTATAATCCACAGGTGTATATGTGTATAGGTATAGGTGCAGGTGAAAAATAAATAAAAATACACCCCAATGATTTACAGGTTTTTAACATTATGATTTGTTTTTCATTCAAATCCACAATTACCACCTTGGGGTTTTATTTCTCTGCCAATCAATTAATGTGCAGTTTCCATGTCTGTCTCTCAAGTCATCACATCATCATTTACCACATTAGACATTTTAGTGAATTCTTATAATGAGCATACTTATTCTTGAGTTGTGGTCCACAATGTGTTTTTCGAGTTCACAGTGAACAAAACATTCTCATCGGTTCATTCTTGCGTCCAACTTGATTTATGTGAGAAATGTTAAGAACATTTTCTTCATGATATGTAATTTTCACAAGAATTGGATGGATATGTGAAGTAGTCAGGACAAAAACTATTATCTATTTTTGGCCTGGTGGTGTAATAACTGTGTGCGGTGTGAAAGCTTCCCTGTCCTTAACAAAGTATCACTTCATATGAATTTGCTCCTCTTTAGTCTCATGCAGTCCGTCTCTGTGATGCAATATCAAGACAGCAGTTTTTCTGTCTGATGGAGGAAAAGAACCAAAGAGACAGAAACAGGGAAGGGCAAGGAGATTGATAGATTAACGGATAGGAAGGAAAGACAATACAAGAGCACCGAACCGATGTGGATAAGACTGAATTAAGTCAGAGGAGTGAGAGTGTGAAACAGAACGAGCCATTCGGGAGGCAGCCAGAGAAGAGAGGAGGAAAGGGAAGCTCCCAGCATCCCACTAATCCCTAAACCTGCAGAGAGAAGGTTAGAAAGGATTATCCCTGCTCTGCTTTTTGGTCTATAGCATCCCTTATACACACTCCCTCACACTCACACACACACACACACACACACACACACACACACACACACACACACACACACACACACACACACACACACACACACACACACACACACACACACACACACATACACTCCTTCAACTAAATGGAAATTAATGTGAGTGTGAAACCTGCAAATACACAGTATAAAAACGCTTCCTGTGCTTCATAAAACAGAATATATTTCTGGCTTCCGAAATGCCTTATACTGTATACGTAGTGCCAACCTTTTCAGCTACCAGTAATATTTATCCAGTTATATTCATACAAAATCCCCATTCATTTGTGCAGTTTCATAAAAACGCACCCTAAACCATCTTTTCACTTCTTACTTGGATGGAAGAGGTAACCAAAAATAGTTTTTTGTTGCAGCATCAATCACAACATGGCTTCCAGCATATAGCTTTGGTCTGCTGCCTCCTAAGGTAGAATGCCAATACAAGATTTAAATGTGGACTTGCACGCTGAGAAAATACCTCTTTAGTCTGGGGTTCATTCGTCTGCTGTGCTGCCGCCGAAAAGGGCCTCAATTAGCCTAAAATGAGCAGCCAGTTTCCCATAAGGGCAAACTGCTGAGTAGCAAAATGGTGCCATGCCAAACAATGCCCCAGTTCCCGTGTGTGTGTGTGTGTGTGTGTGTGTGTGTGTGTGTGTGTGTGTGTGTGTGTGTGTGTGTGTGTGTGTGTGTGTGTGTGTGTGTGTGTGTGTGTGTGTGTGTGTGTGTGTGTGTGTGTGTGTGTGTGTGTGTGTGTGTGTGTGTGTGTGTGTGTGTGTGTGTGTGTGTGGTGTGTGTGTGTGTGTGTGTGTGTGTGTGTGTGTGTGTGTGTGTGTGTGTGTGTGTGTGTGTGTGTGTGTGTGTGTGTGTGTGTGTGTGTGTGGGGGGGCCAGGCCTGTCATTTCACATCGGAGCAGACACTGAAGGCAGAAGCAAGGGTTTCCTCTGCCACGTGTCGCGCCCAATCTCCTCCCCTGGAAACGTAACCTAGTTTCTCTGTCATTGCACACACACAGACTGAATGTGCCCTGCTGTGTACAGAAAATTAGACATATGTGCACATATATGGGATGTTGGAGCATTGTTCTCATACTTCCATATACTCATACACGGCTCTTATCACCTCCAGCCTTCTTTTAAACACACGCATACATGGGAGCATTTTCTTAGTGCATGCACAGGCGTGTGGACGAATGCTACAGGGTGTTATTGTAGTTTTTGCGGTCACAGTCACCCTGGCACAGCTCTTTGTTCTTCACTTTACAGATGTAACCATTAAAGAGTCACCACTCCTCACTGTATTATTACTGAACAAAACATCTCTGACCCATTAAAGGGAGGTGGTGTGTGTCAGACATGTATGAAGAATGATAATGAAAGCATTCAGTAGAAGATAGTTTTGTGATACGTTATGATAAAAAAGAAAATGCAACTACAGCAATCCTGATCCCTCTCTCCCTCACCTGGAGGTTATGTAACCTATATATGTTTAGATGTAAGCTCTAAATGTGGAGATGTGCATGTTTTATTTATTATTGTCTGGGATTTGGAATAACTCTGTAGAAAAACCTTTTACAATTGAATATATTCATGTACGATAGTTACCTCCACCAGCGACGTGATTTTGGTTTGTTATTTTGTTTGTTAAAAGGTGGACTAGTGCAGAATAAGCCAAGGAAAACTATTACAGAACAGATTTGAATAATAGGGAACAATATTTTTCATTATAAAACAGCCTTGGCGATGATTTAATTATCAATTATCACCAGAGCTTGAACAATTTGAAAAGTTATATATATTTAAACCTTATTTTCTCAAATTCTTTGTGAATTTGTCTTAAACAACCCTATGTGGTTTGGGCAAAAAGATGTGATTACCTGTGCAGAAACACTGGCTACATTTTGTGCTCTACTTTACGATGTTACACACGCACATTGAACGCCACTGGTGGATTTAATCATGACAGGAAGTTTTGTCTGACTGCATTTGAGTAATCTTATGATTTTCCAATGTCTGTGTGCTTCTTCATGGATTGATACACAGGAAGTGTCCCATGTTAGCCGTGTTGAAGTCGCATCAAAGAGCTCCAGCCTGTGAGCCGCTGTGATGCTAACTGTGCGAGCGTAAGAGCTTGGCTCATTCGAGTTCTTGGCAGGCTTTTAGGACTCTGACAACGCCGGTGCTTTTGTGTTGAAAGCTGGAAAGCTGGAATGCTGGCATTTTGGACAATTACTTTTTGAGAATATTAACACCATCTGTGTCCTGGGAAGGCTTCAATCTGAAGAAGGATGAAACCCTGATGTCTGGTTGTTTTTAGTTTTAGTATGAATATCCCCCAAAAATCTGGTCAAAGAGTTTGGGCTATTTTGCCTCCATAACATATAACTGTCAAATATTTTGTGATTAGGGGAAAGAAAATACACATTTAGGTCTTTATTTTGCTGCACTTTGTCTATTTGTAATTGCTAGATTACTTCTACATTTGATCATGCCTCACAAGCATATTTAAACAGATAATGTCAGGAAACTTTTAATGAAACATTGCTTTTACCTGACATTATTGTCTAAGTTTGTGTTAATCTCTTTGTTCAAACACGTTAACGCCTTTCACCTGTAGTGTCTCCCCTTGATGATATTCTTTCTGTCATTTTAAAAGAAATAATTGCACATTGATGACATAAGACATTGAGGAGAAGTCAAATGTGGAAGCTTTTCAGGCCTAAATGGATGTCAGCTTTCAACCTAACAGTTATTTTGTCACTCTCCCAGAATCACCCGTGCCCTCCGTGTGCCTGATAATTTCCATGCCCGTTTCCGTGCCAATTCTCGGACCTACGTATACCGGATCGCGCTGGGAATCTCCCACCACTCTCTGCTTCCCTTCACAGAGCGCGATCTCTGCTGGAACCTCAGAAACACGTGAGTTAACCTGCTTTACACCAGACATCCCGGCATCCTTCAGTTTGATGAGTTCCCTTAAGAAATACAAATCGAGATCGACCTATCAAGAGGGTCCACACACACACACACACACACACACACACACACACACACACACACACACACACACACACACACACACACACACACACACACACACACACACACACACACACACACACACACACACACACACACACACACACACACACACACACACACACACACACACACACACACACACGACTACACACACACACCCATGCCAAGCCTTGCAGAAACAATGGCATGTTAAACACATGAATAATCCACATGTGCCACGCCGGAACTGCACATTAGGGCCAGTCAAACAAAGTGTTTCATCTGAGCTGACAACCCAAAAACATAGAGAAGAACATGAAATGGTGAGGGCTTCACAGCCTAGACGATGTTCTCTTAGCTGTGATTGGAAGGAGGGAGCGTAAAGAAACACATTTCACAGAGTGTACATATGAGCATTTTTCTGCTTGTAGCTCTACACTTTTTTGGGGGGAAAGTAGGGCAAGATAAGCTGCGGGCTTATACGCATGCAGAACAACACCCCCGCACATTACTGACTCTGTGTTTTTCTCACTCTCTCTTTCCCTCGCCATCTTCTCCTTTTCTCCACACTTTTTTCTCTCTACCTTCTTTCCATTTCTCCTTCCCTCCCTTGTTTCTCTCTCTCTCTGGTGTCTGTTTATTTTTTTGTATCCCTTCTCTCATTTTCAGCATCCATCTCATCCCTCCACCCCTCAGCCTCCTCTCTCCGTCTCTCTTTGATCTTCCTCTCCCTCGTCATCACACACCCCCATCTCTCCCACTGCAAAAAATATACATTTCCACTGTTCTGTAATGTTGAATTTAGACTTCAAATCTTGCATTTTTTTAAACAAGGGGAAATAATCCAGGTTAGATAGCAGCAGAACCTTTACAATTGTTGAATTTGTAAATGCACATCAGTTTTTCTAACATATCAGAAGTATAGTATTTCAGTTCTTCAGCAAAATCCAAATATTTATAGATTTACTTTATGTTGGTTGACTAGTAGACTAGACTCAGGTCTCCATGGAATTACAAAATAACAACTTTAAGAAATTAAAGTTAATCTTCATCAAAATGAAGATGGACATACATGTGTCTATTAATTGGAGACCCACATTACCAGCTCTGAGGCTGTGTGACAGTGGTTTTGAGTTATGCTAACAGAAATAATAACAATGCTAACGTAAGCTAACATGCTGATGTTCAGATACAATGTTTACCTTGTTCACCATCATAGGTATCTGGTTATCATGCTAATGTTTGTGAATTAGCATAAAGGCAAGTGCAGCCGATGGTTCTGATGGGAATATCATTAGTTTCGTATTTAGGTATTTTGGTCATTAAAAATAAATCAATTAATAACTTAATAGTTTTCCAATTTGTGCCATTTTCCAACTTTCCCTCAAAAGTTCTAGCACTAGTTATAAAAGGACAAACTAGAGACTGACTTGAAAGGAGACACCCGACACAAGTCATTTTTTGCAGCGCTCCACCACATCTTCATTCATGACTCTCATGTTCAAGATTCTAAATTGGTGCATTAAGATTTTAATTAGTGAGTCACTCGGCACACTCCTCCTCGCTGTGTCTCCCCCTCTCTCCGTCAGATCGTATTAAAGCAGTGACAGAAACATGAGACTGTAGAGAGTCGCAGCACTGGGCCCACTTTCAGTCTCTTCCTCGAACGAGCTGCTCATCGACATGCTCCTCTCTGTCACGTGGTGTTGTGCATCAGAAAAGTTAATATTATATAACACCACCAATAAATTATTCTATTTTGAAAGCTGGAACATGAAGTTCCTGAAAACCTGTGGTACTTAAAGTGCACACCATATCCCCGCTGCCTGTCCTCTCTGTGCAGGCCTGACCTGTCAATGGTTATGTCACAATGAGGCTGTAAAATTGATTAAGGTAGTGAAAATTAGCGATCACTTATTAAATAGAAATGTCTCCTGTTTCTGTCTCTGATCAGGGAGCTGGATGTGGGAGCCATGCGCGAGGCTGCCACCCTGCTGGTTGGGACTCAGGACTTCAGCACCTTCAGGGCAGTCAGCTCTGACATCCATTTGAAAAATCCCGTGAAGACACTTGATGTGGTCAGCATACAACCAGGAAGATCCTTCGTACACACACATTTCCACAGGTAGGCTGTTTATACTCAGGTAGGCCGGCAGTCAGCAAAGGAAACAGCTGCATACATATTTTTTGAGCACTTGGGGTCAAACAAACAAGCTTCAAACATAACCTTGACATATCTTGACATATCTTTTGAAGATGTTCTTTTCTTTGTATTATTTAGCAATGTGTTGTTTTTTTCACACATCCTGAACAGGTAGTTTAACTTGTAGTTTAATATAGGGCTGCAAAATATATATAATTTAAATTAAGATCGCTAGGGGTTTATTTGGAAAGTCTTGATTGTTTTTAATAACTCTCATGTCATGTGAAACAATGACTCCAAATCAGTACAGCATTGTATTACTAAACAAGACAAGTGGGACACACATATTCTTTTGGATTTCAGTCCACCTTTTATTTTACATGAATATAGTTATGCGATATGTGAGCCAGAGGGAGAGAGAGAGCTTTTTGAGATTACAGGTCCATGGGGGTCCCTCTGCATGGGGAGTACCACCTTAACCGCATTCATTACTTGCCCTGAAAATATGGTGCACAATATGGACATGGGCAGAGTCTTTGCAGTTCTAAGTAAATGTCACATAGTCCCTTAACCCCCCGCACACATGGTGCATCAACAAGCTGTGAGCATCAGGGCTTTTTACACTAGGGTGCCTATGGTTGCATTTTCATCATAGTGCAGTTATATTTTTACAGAAATGCCATGAATGAAAACCTGCAGCGGAGCTCTTGATTCATTTGCTGTTACTTTTTTCTTAAATAATAAACGGCTTTAAAAGAGGGACAATCTACAACAAAATGCCCCAGAGCCAGTGAAAACTCTTGACAGCTATTGGATGTGTTTCTATGACATTTGTTAAACATATTCATGTTCCACTCAGGTTGAAATATAATTAACTGGACATTCCTTTAATGAGCACCATCTACAGGGCAACATTTTAAATTGCCCAGAACTTTGGCTAGTAACCAAAACATGCCAAACTAATGACATCCCCATCAGCCTCAGCTGTGATTTGGGTTTAGAGCTAATGAGCACATTTTAGCATAATCAGAGGGTACATCATGTCCTGCTTAACATGAGTATTTTGGAATTATCATTATTAGCATGTTGGTATAGTCATTAGTGCAGCCTCACAGGGTCCCTTATGCATTAGGCATTAAGCTCAAAGCACCACTGTACCTAAGTATCTTCTCACAGCGATGCTGGCACAACTGTACTGCAGACTTGTTGATTTATAAATCCCTCAAACAATTCATAAATGATCAAAACAGCTAAACATTAACGTTCTGTTGAAATTCTAATTGATCATTTTCTCAGTTAGATGCCTGGAAAACCTTAATGCGTTTTATCAATATCCTTTACAGACAGAAAAGACAGACGCACGCACACACACACACACACACAGATGCTGTGCAACATGAGACACAGCCTTTGTCTATCCACAGGATGTCCCTCACCAGAGTCCATGAGCTAACAGGCTTGCTGTATAGATCTGTCTCTGCATTCTTACATGTCAAATGAAATCAGACGGCAAGCGCTGACTCAAATTTACATTTGACCTAATTCTTCACATGTGCCTGTTTCCTCGGCTCATTCCTCCCCAAGTTATCAGATTTGGAGGGAAATGACTGCTGCGGCTTAAATGATGAGACAACAAACGGCAAGAAAAATGTAATGTCACATTGCAAACGAGGAAGATTCATATTTTTGTCATGGCATCACACATAATCCAGCCGGGCCTAAGCTGCAGTGGCGTATTCAGCATGTGGCATTTAAACAAATCTGTGAAGGAGGAGAGGCCCCGGCTCTATCTGATGATGTCTGGCAGCATGAGCGTCCCATCAGCACCTAACAGTGCGGGGGGGGGGGGTCCTCTCTTTAAAGAGAGATAAAGAGAGGACATGTCTTTACATCAAATACACATGAGAGATGAACACTTTTTAGTTCAAATGAATAATTCACTTTCAGAACATGGTTCGGACTGATTAAATACATTTTTAAAGACTTTTAGAATGATATACATATAATAATCAGACAATGAGTGTCATTCAGATCTACACTCAATGTGGCTCAGTATTATGCTATATTACATCTGACGACCATTCAAGATATTATTTTGCTTCTAAAATGTATAACTTCAACCTTTGTGGCAATACTTAGTGGTACATTCAGTCAGTGATGCCAACTGCTATGCCTTGAGGACCTAATATTATCATTGTTACGTTTAATTAGTGTTTAACACGTGTTGGGAATGTGCCTTAAAGCAGGGGTTCCCAACCCCCGGTCCGCGGACCGGTACCGGGCCGCGGAGGTGTTACTGCCGGGCCGCGAAATAGCTGTGAGTTTATCGTAATATTTGCAGAATTATAAATATATAAAAATATTTTATCATAATATTTTTTTCAAAAAGTGTTTAATTTTCGCACCTATGCCACCAGTCATATTATTTCATCCAGTAGCTAGTTAATCTTTCACCAGAAAACCGTTGAAAATGGCTTTTATGATGTTCCGAGGGATTCGGCGGCTCAGCCTAAGGTCTCAGCCTCTTGTGCGCACGAGCATGTTACCGGTGCGCCAAGTAGGAAGAGGAGCGCACAGGAGACAACCGTTTGATTGCAGACTGTTATGTTTATGTGGGGAAATGGTGGTGCATACATTATTTGAGATATATTTCAAACTCGGACTTCATTTTAAGGACATGTCGGCCAGGAGTGTAGAGGGAGCTATTTGTTTAAGCACCGGATTGGCAAAACAGGAGAGTAAACCAGTCTGCCTTGATCTATGAATTAATGTCCGGGACTCTCACGGTATCTGCTGCCCGCAGCTGCTTTAGAGAAGGAACACCTCCTTCACTTCATGAAATGGCTGAAGCATCAGGAGGCAGCGGGACGTATACTCGGTAAAGAGCTGTGCCTTTTTACGCACCGCCTTCGCTGTGTTTAACTTAATCAGAACAGTTTAAGAGTGACTGCAGGCTGCTACGTGTTAACCACACACACATCTAAACACATCGAACTGCCCGATTACTCCCCCTTTTATTAGTTTTATGAAGGATATGTCCAGTCAGTCACCAAGGCGCATGATGTGTGTGTGTATGTGCTCTGCTCAGCTCAGCTCTGTGTGTTCGGTGTGTTTGTGTCTGTCCGACACCGGCATATGCGGCTGTTCCCAAAATAAATTAGTTTAATCTTAATCTCGATGTAGTGCTATGCTGTCGGGAGTGCACCGGAACGAACGACACTATCATAATATCTTCTGAAAACAAATGCCAGTGACACACACACACACACACACACACACACACACACACACACACACACACACACACACACACACACACACACACACACACACACACACACACACACACACACACACACACACACACACACACACACACACACACACACACACACACACACACACACACACACACACACACACACACACACACACACACACACACACACACACACACTGGCGACCGGACATCTCCTTCATAATGCGCCTTCTCCTCGTTTTCCCAGCATTCACTGGATTATCCGTAAATCATACAAACAAAACCAAAACGTTGATTTATCTGTTTTCCCGTTTTGGTTTAAAAACTGAATAACGTCGGTTTTTTGGTTTTCCGAAAAACCAAAAAACAACACCGGTTCTTTTTTAAACTTTGTTAATATGTTTTGGATGCATATTGTTCTAGTATTTGTTCAGGCTGTTACATACAATTAGCCTCTGTTGCTACCTGCTGGTGGTGAGTAAATATTAAAATCAGTTAAAATTGACAACCGGTCCGCGATTTTTTTTTAATGTATCTGCCGGTCCTTGGCACAATAAAGGTTGGGAACCCCTGCCTTAAAGCATTTGCACATTGTAAACGTATATAAATAAACAGCTGTTGAGTTTAACAATTGTATGTTCTGTCTTTTGTTGGATACTATATATATGTTGTGCAAAATGTAACACCTGTTTTTGGTTTTACAGAGAAATACCATTCTGGGAGATCACGTTTACAAGCAGATCGTTCCTCTATAAGCAGGTCAGTCCCTCTCACTCTCCTTTAAAGTCTGCAAATGTGATGCAGTTAGTGAGTTGCACCATCTGCTGGTCTGGATCTGGATCTGGATTAATACTGAGCAGAACCCAGAGGTATCACGCTCAGTGGGGGATGGATGATCCCCGCTAAATGTCACTTAAAGTTTGCCGGAAGCACTCCACGGACTCTGCGATGACAGCTTCTTCTGGTAGCAAGTTCCACTCTCTGATTGTTCTCGGAAAGAAAGAGTATTTAAGAGTGTCACTAGTAGCGGTGTTCAAAGAGTTGGCTTTGCGGGTTGCACTTCTAACTGGCTCTAGGTACATTGATGGCTGAGATGTTATGGACAATCTTGAAGAAGAGAACCAAACGAGCCAATCGCCGCCTTTCACTCAATTCCACCCAGTTCAACCGCTTGAGCATTTCTGTGACACTGCTGTCCCATTCATAATCTCCAAAATGAATCTTGCCCCTCTTCTTTGTACTGATTCCAGGGCATCACTGTCTTTATCAGTGTAGGGGTCCCAGACCGAGCTGGCGTACTCTAGTTTAGAGCGTACTAGGGCCACAAAAGCTGTCTCCTTCAGTTTCTGGGGACAGCGTCGCAGGTTCCGGCGTAGGAAGCCGAGTGAACGGTTTGCCTGTGTTACAATGGTGATGACTGCTGTGGGTGAAACTTCTGAAGCAATTCAGGACTCAAAGAGACACGATGGAGAGCTGGAGCTTTGATGTCAAACACTGATGGTTTATTTGGAGCTTCGGCCGGAGAATTCACAAGACATGTCACGGGCCACGAGTTGACCACACGGTTGAGATGCCACAATCAATTCTGAAGAACCCTCCTGTAGTTCCAGGTTTTAACTAGTTCAGAGTGTAATAATCAACATTCCTCAATAGATAGACTAAACAGCTGAGGACACTGAATCACATTTGTTGTCGCTTATGGCTCGGGGTCATCTACACGGATGATGAAGGATGTGTTCCAGGTGTCCCACAACAATAACTATCTCTGACCGAAGTTGCCCGGTCATAAACGGGTAACAACAAAATGCTTGGGCAGCCCCTCCTTAAGGGAGATAGCGGCTGCTCAAGGCTGGGCATCTGCGTCAGACGGCGAAAGATGACATGCAGGGGAAATTATTCCCCAACAACTGCAATATCTCATAAATAAGTTTCATTCAGCATACATTTGAGATATTTTAAGTCATGATGTAATAATGTGTGTCTCTGTAGTTGGCGTAAAGAAGTGGAATTCTTTGCCGAATGATTTAAAGGGCTGTAAGAACATTTTTATGTTTAAGAAAATGTATAAAGAAAGCATATTTAGACAGTATGAATTTGACTTTTGATTGTGTTCTGGTTTTATGTTTCAGTATTTGTAAGCAACTGTGACTGAAAGAATATTGCTTTTATTTTTATTTAATTTGTATTTCTTTGTAAGAAGGGGCAGGTTAAATAAGATTGTCTTCTCCCTGCCTTTCCACCATGCATTTAAAAAAAAAAAAAAAAAAAAAAACTAGTATAAGGGTACATGCTTTGTATTAAATTAACTGCCATGTGTGGAATAAACAAATAAATAAAATAATGTTTGTTTGTCCAGGTGCGCAGGATGGCGGGGGCCCTGGTGGCTGTAGGGCGGGGGAGGCTCTCAGTGCCCCAGCTGAAGGAGATACTGTTGGCTAGGGACTCGCTCGCTTACCCACAAGCCATGGTGGCTCCACCTGACGGCCTCTTCCTCACCAGGGTGGACTACAGAGAGACAGGTGAGAAGGCTCATATTTCCTTAACATGCTAAGTGTAGTTTTTGTCAGTGAGATGTTTAATTTTGCCCTGATTTCTTTGTCAGTTTACCATTTGATAGTAAGTACTTTTTTTGTGTGTAACTATTTCTGTTTGGTCAATTTTTCTGATGTATTGCCAATTCTTTCCCTCCTTAGACCTGCAGTTTTCACAACAGACGTCAGAGGAGCAATGCATCTCCAGTGGAAACTCAGAGGAATAATGATTGTTTATAATTTCCGTAATGCTGTATGCAATGTTTGTAATAAAGTTTTGAATGTGTATATTACTTTCTTTACTTACAACTAGAATAAACTTACGAATAAAGCAGCTTCACTTTGAGTGAATGACCCCAGTAGGTGTAAATAACAAAATAATGACCACACTCAGACAAATAAGCGTTTAACTTCATCCGGATAACATGTTCATGTTTTAATTCAACATATTAACAATACATAAACTGTGTCCATGAACGCAGCTCAGCTACAGAATACCACACACCTTGAACCTATCATTGTCTACACATGACCTTCAGGTTACAACAGACAACTTTCTTTAAGCCTCGTCAGGCAGTATTACTCCTATGTGTATGAACAGGGTTCTGGTAGGTTCTGAATATTATCAAACAAGGTATACAACAGGTGGAGAAGAGGAGTGTCAAGTCCTGTAGCCAAAACTGCTTTGAGTGTCCATGGCTCTGGTACAGTGGTTTTTGACATTATGGATCAACAAAATGCACACACTCACTGATCATTTTTACATCCAAATGTCCAAATAAAACTGCATACATTGGTTCTTTACCCGAAAGTCTTCACAGAGCACTCTCACTTGTTTCTAATCGTCCGTAAACAGTCCATTAAAACCGGACTACCACCAGCAGTCTTCTTAATTTCGGTGAGAGCCAGATGAGGTTTGTACGAGGTTATATCACTGCTCTTAATGTTCCAGCGTGTTGATCAAATGCACCAGACCACCCACTGTTCCCATTATTCCTATTATATCTGATGCAAGATGAACTGATTTAGGCTCACTGTATTCGAAGTGCAGCGTCTGTCAAAATTGAACCTCGTGAGGAATGTTTTTTTTGCACTTCTTAGAAGTAACACTCAGTAAAAACTACTTTAACCTATTTCTTTTTTTATATGTACACAAGTACATGTTTATTTATCCATGCGTCAGTGTTGAAGCAACACAATGAATCTGATTGGCATAGGTCCTCAGTCAATTCAGCATTTGGTTTCACACATCCTAAAGACGCTCATAGTTCAATATATAATCAAAATGTCAAGTGTTAGCCAGAATATGAAGCCCAATGTCTTAGAAACAAAATCATATTTATATATAATGCACTTGAGGAAGGCATTGCGTTATTAGCTTTTTATAAACTCACAATCCTTAATAACAGCACAGTCTGGGTGAATGTAGCTGAGTCAGGTCAAACTGGAGACCCTGATTGGAAACGATGAGTGACACTGATGTCCACATTAGAAATAAAATGGAGGTGTTATGAGTGATTAATGCTCGGAAGTGGTGCTAAGATATCCTGATAAAAGCCGTAATCATTTAAAAAAAGGATACAAATGATAGGCGTAAGATGTGTGGGTGAATGATGGTTAAATACTAGCTTAACAAAAAATATTTGTATGTCCATGATTTGGAGTTATTAGTGTCTTATGACTCTTGGCAGCCATTTTTGGCATTTGACTACACACCCTGACGCTAAAGCTGAGGTTAATTCAGGATTCATTTCTTTCATGTGAATACAGGTTGATATTATTTGAAAATAGCTATCACAGGTTGAGAAGTTTGCATAGACCCTTGAAACCCAACCATAACCCTCATTAACAATCTCAATGATTAAACTACCGCTCAGCAGCATACCCAACTTCACACTTTGTACCGGGGTTTTGTAGTCAATTCAGAGAAATGCTGTAATGATCTACGTGATACGCTTACATTCAATCATACTTTGCTCCTTTTAAAATTTAAAACAATGTGGCACATAAAATTGTTATTTTTCCTTTTTTGGGAAATCTCTTTACAGAATAGTTCGTATCATGCCACCACTACAGCCAAAACCAAATAGTGTTTTGAACTCTGTGTGTGTTCAGTTAAACAGAGCCCACTGTGGCTGCATTATTACAATACACAGCAATAAAATCATAGACTTTATTCAAAGAAGTACAAAGAGTGAAATGGGGTATGTTCCCGAGACTTACAAAACACTCGTCAGAGAGGAGACAGAATCCACTTGTAAACATATGCTGCGTTTGTGGCTTTGCTCTTCACTCTGACAGCTAAAAGAAATAAAAGCGTAAAACACTGTAGGAGCGTACAGTCCTTGGCGAGCCAAGAGGGGAGGGGGAGTGGGGCGTCCTTGGTGTGATAAACGCTGCTCTCTTTAGCTAGCGATTTTCTCAATTTCATCCAGATCATCCGTGTCTAGTTTCTCGATGTTCTTACCTGCAGAGGCAGAAACCAAAGAAAATAGCGGGGTTCATTTAGAGGGTTGACGCATGGCTGATCACTTTTAAAAACATCCGTTATGGATATTCCTCCTCCAACAAAATTAAACAGTATGAAATAACCTCATCAACTTGATTGGGTATAAGAGTGTGTGTGTGTGTGTGTGTGTGTGTCAGCTGCAGACTTACTGAAATGCTCCTGGATCCTGTTGAGGATGTTCATGCTCGACTTGCTGTCCACCATGTTGATGGCCAGTCCTCTTTTGCCAAATCGACCTGTGCGGCCAATCCTGTGCAGGTATGTCTCGTTGTCCGGGTTACCATCCCTGTCTACAGGAAGGTCGAAGTTGATCACCACAGAAACCTGCTCGACGTCGATACCTGAATGTCAGAAAAAGTGAAGACACACATACATATTACATTTGAAAAAACAATGAAGATGGGCAGAACTGTAATACACTGTTGTACCCAATGCATACCTTATATACTATAATAATTAAATAGTTTGTATTCAAACTTGCCCCGATTCCTCAGGTTTGTACACATGATTATATAAAGTGTTTTTCCTTTTATATTTGAATAAATTCTAACTCCAATCACAATGTAAACAAGTATTTTATTTAGCCCTTTCACGCATAGAGGTCACTACAGTGGACAGCTATTCAAAAGGTGTTTTCTTGTATATGCATGTTTTTTTTGTTGCATAGTTGCACCATCAGCCACTACATAGGACCCTATTGCATCATCCCATACACTGCCACTCAGTGGAAAGTCAGTGCAAGTGCATGATAAATGTCTCTAAACCAAGATGGACGACAGAAAGTCAGATGGACCAAGTCACCTGCCGATATCCTGCCAATCCTTTCATGGAAAGCGAGCCCTGCAGATATAAAACATTTGGTGACATCAAGTAACAACTAAGGAATCATATAATTCATAAATTGTCAAAGTATTGATTTTATGTTTGCAGGAAATCATGATTATTCGCCTGTCCACTACAGTGGACGTCATGCATCACTGGCTATATTTCAACTAAATTTCATACTGTTACTGTTCTTCTTGAAAATACTTCATTTGCAATATCTTTTTGGGCCTTAAATATAAAAGGGGACCTATCATGCAAAATGCACTTTTGTACGTCTTTTATACATGAATTTGTGTTCCCGGTGTTCCAGGGAACTCACCAAGTGTCAGAAAACACAACCCTCTCTATTTTCCTCCATACCCAAATCTCTAAAAAAGGGGCTGCAACGGATCTGATAAAAACTGATCCAGATTTGAACACTGTCCTGACGTCAGGACGGTGGCGCTACGGCTATTGGGCCAACTCTCCACCTATCAGGGGAATGTGGGGTTGGGCCACGGCCGGCCATTGCCGCTCGAAAGCGCTGGAGACGCTGTAGTACATCTGCCAGGCCTGTAAGTGGCGCTGTAGTCTGCCACAAAAGCAGCGAAGAAGACTTCCTGTGCATGGTTACCATGGTTACCCTTCTGTTTATTCTCCACTGTGGCTTTTTTCCTCCCTCCCAGAGGCAAGCGTTTGCTCCCGCTGCTTTAATTCAATGCAATCCCTCCCCGTCGAGGCAAGCACTGTAATTCTCTCCGGTTAGTCCACCAGCAGATGACAAACACCCACCTCTCCGCCTCTTCCAAGGAACGAGGGGACCGTGCGGCAGAGTTTCAGTTAGGTTTTCTTTCGCCGGTCAACATGTCCGTTAAAGTTTAAATCTTCCGGACAAAATTAGAAAAGTGCCGGTCAAAGGTCTTCTTTGTTATTTATTGAGCTTTAAAACAAATGAATAACGACTCTATATAATAAAACACGGAGGACGGAGATATATTTTTCTCCCCCTCTTCTGACTTGATCAGAGCGGCTCCCCTCTCCTGCAGGGGGGCGTGGTCAGCTGCAGCTTACAGAATCAGCCCCCTGCAAAAACAGGGCTGGAGAACAGCAAATAGAGCGAAATGAGGCATGGCTAAAATGCATGATCCGTTTGGTATTTTGAAAACAGAAACGTATAAATATACCTTATATAGGTATGGCCCTACAATATATCATTTAAATATAGCATGATAGGTGTCCTTTAAGTTATTATAATGTAATTTTAAGTTTGCAAATCTTAATTTATCATTTTTTCCAAATGTATACGTTTTCAGTTTAGACTTTAAAGGTAGGGTAGAAGTTTGAGAAACCGGCTCGAGATACACTTTTTGTTATATTCCATGGAATGCTCTTAACATCCCGATAGCAATGAATATCTTAAGTGCTTTGACAAAAAATCCATAAAAAAATGTCATCTGTGGAAGCCGTAATACTGTAAAAAGCACGACCAATCATTTTAGCCGGCCCGGCTAAAATAACTGGATGGCCTACCTGCCTGTCAGCCTTTCATCTGTGCACAAACTTATCTCGTGCCCTCATTGGTCATGTGCGCGTTCGTGTGTGTTGGAGGAGGGGCTCTGTAAGGAAGTGGCAGATTTTCTCCGGTTGTGTATTTTCCAATTCTAGCGATCTCGAGACGGTTTCTCAAACTTACCTACCCTACCTTTAAAGCAGGGGTGGGCAAACTTTTTGGCTCGGGGGCCACTATGAGTTTACGGGCCAGGCCAGTAGCAGAACGGTGAAAAAATATTTAGCTGTCCACTCCTCATTAAACACTCGGCACTCATTGTCGACTTTTCTTTGTTCCACTCATTGTTACAGATGCAGGTTCAAAGGTGAATTATGGCGTCATTGCGTCATCGTTTGCGTAATCGTTTACGTGCCTTCTTATGACCCACACAGCGTTTTACGTCGCTGATTTTCTCCGCAACACCGCTCACAACAACATCAATAGAGGACTGCGTCGGGTAGTTTTTAATCATACGAAGCCAGATTAAATTAAAGAACTACTTCTCCAACCATATACCTTTCTCCAGAGTGCAGTGGTTCATTGTTTATTAATGTGGTTCAGCTGCATTATCACCCGCTGCAGTGCTGCTCGTTCACCGGAGTTTATTCTCCCGTTAACTCGTGGCAGCGGCCGCTGGAAAGTATTCACTGTCCGACTGTCACACAAGCAGCTGATAAATATCCCCCATCCCCATCAGTGAATGTGTTTGTCTGAATTGACGCTGTTTGGCATCACAACGCGGTTATGAAAGTTTCTCTGGCATTCTACAGGTGATGTTAGCATAGCAACCAAAGCTAATCAGACTATCTTGACTACTTGTTGCTATCATTTTGTGGCATAAGCCGTTTTCTACAGGCACATTTTACCGGCGTAGTTTTCGTTATGATTTTACTTGTGATGGCCACATGTAGCCCATGTATTGATTCCATCCGATAGCGGCAATAATACAAAACAACAGGAAAACGTCTGCCTCTTCACAATGGTCAATAACAGCGAGCGGATGGTCATTAAAGTAAGGTCAAATAAACAGAATCACACTAAGCATGGTTAGTGTTGCCTGACTTTATATAAGTGTTTTTTATAAGTGTGTGGTCGCATTCTAGTCACTTTGCTCAGTGCTACTGCTTGTTACAACTTGTATTTCGCCATGAACTGTTATTGCTCAGGTTAATCTCGACCCCCTCCAATGTAAGCGTGACGTATTTGGTTCTTAGATCATGCCGGGTTGCCGACTCCAGCAAAGGTCAATTGTGTCTAGAGTGCGCCATCTAGTGGGATCAACTGAAATGGCGGGTATTGCAGGAAAAAGGCAAAATTAATGCGTGTGGCGCAGTGGATAGAGCCTTGGTATGGGGATCAGATGGTCACAGGTTCAAACCCCACTGCAGTCAGCATGTCGTTGTGTCCATGGGCAAGACACTTCACCCCAAATTGCTCCTGTGGGGATTGCCCACAGTATTGAGTATGTAAGTCGCTTTGGATAAAAGCGTCTAACAAGTAACATGTAATAATGTAATGCGGTCTTTACTATAATTTGGACAATTTTGTACCAATATTGGGCGGGCCGGATTAAAAAGCCCAACGGGCCGTATATGGCCCGCGGGCCTTAGTTTGCCCATGCCTGCTTTAACGCATACCTGAGTGGACATACACAATTTTTTTTCCCTAAATTAGAAAAAACTAGATTAAAAAAAACTAAAGTTAAAATCTTGTTTTGAATGCCCCAAGAGCAATAAAAACACTTGGTAAAGAAATCCTGAGTGAGGCTTTCATAATTCATGCATGAAAGGGTTAATCATTTAAACAGTTGTATTTGAGCTCTGTACTCCATCTCATTAATGTAACAATAAGAAACAATTGGTAGTTTCACGATTCCCTCTAGTATTTTGCGGGCTGGAAAAGAGTCATACATGCTTCTCTGTAAATGCACACATTCACTCTGCTAACCATCCCACCTAAGACATACAGTATATCTCAATTGCAAATAAGTCAATACATATTGCCATTTCAATGTAAATAACAGCTCTGGAGAACGTCACATGATATAGACTCTGCCTGTTTTAATGGCACTTCGTCTTTACCTCGGGCACAGACGTTTGTGGTGACCAGAACTTTCTCCTTTCCGTTTCTGAAGCGATCGATGACAGCGGCCCTCTGCTCCACCTGCATCTCTCCGCTGAGCAGCGCCACCTGGTGGCCTTCTCTGGACAGCTCGCCTGCCAGCCAGCCCGCAGTTTTCCTTGTCTGGATCAGGCAGAAAACCGTGTGTCATAACTTGGCCAATAATCCGACAATAGTAATGTAACAAAAGGTCAAATGTGAAAACGTGGCAACACAAGCCCCACACAGGCACTGTGTTGAAAGAGTTGGTAAAGTAAGCAAACTAAACAGAAAGTGTTGCCAAGCTCTAATCTCACATATAGAAGACACAGATAAGAAAGCTTTGCAAACAAATTTGTATTTCTTTAATCCTATACAATTAGGGGTTCAGCTGAGAATATATTGCGACCATGAAAGTAAATTGCATGAACTCACATGGCAGAAGACCATGGCCTGGGCGATGGTGATGGCTCCGTAGATGTTACACAGGGCTTGGAACTTCTCCTCTCTGCTGTTGCACAGCACATAGTACTGTTTGATGGTATCCAGCGTCTCCTCCTCTCTCTTCAACTTGATGATGTTGGGTTCAGGCACAATGCGCTGGGCGAAGTTCCACACAGTCTCTTCAAACGTGGCGGAGAACAGTAACATCTGGCAATTTTCAGGCAGCATCCTGAGTGGCAGGTAAGAGAGAATCCAATTTACAAGCTAAAAAAAGTAGTGTATGCCAAGATCTTCCCAGATCTTTTTTCTTCTCAATGAACCCGTTTCTTTCTGACCTCTGGATGCGGATGCTCTGGTCCTGGTGACCCTGTGTGGCGATCATGACGTCGGCCTCGTCAAGCACAAACACCTTGATCTTCTTGGGGTCTATGAACTTGAATTTACTGCACCAGTCCAGCATGGTACCAGGCGTGCCAATGACGATCTGTTCATGTAGCTTTGTGCCCCGTGGCACTGGAACAATCACAAGAAACAAGTACTTTAACATTTAAAACACACAAAAAAATGCATAGAATTTTTTTTTTTTTTTTAATGTCGATCATCAATTGTAGATGTAGCAAAGTAAACAACAGAGAAGTCTTACATTTGTTTCCTCTGATGGCGTAGACGAGTTTGACCTCCTCATATTGTTTTCCCATCTGCTCGATTACCTGGCCAGTCTGAAGTGCCAGTTCATAGGTAGGTGACACACACAGGCACTGAAGGACAAACAGAACGAGTGGGAAGGATTAAGGGCGAGGCCTTTCAAGGATAACAAAAAATGTGGGAGTGACAGGTAGGGACACTACCACATACTGTGATAAGCATGTCATCAAAACCAGTTTCAAAACTAAAGTTTGCGATCAGAGATCTCCTATAATAGCTAAATAAAGGGGATACCAACCTGGGGATATTTGTTGTTGGGTTCTACATGACTGAGCATGGCCAGGACAAAAGCAGCTGTTTTCCCTGTTCCCGACTGTGACTGGGCAATCAGATTCTGTGGACTGGAAGACACAAAGACTTAGAACAAAGGCAAATGTGGCAAAAATAGTTAGTGGTTTTATTTATAAGTATCTGTTGCAAGTTCATCTTATAATTTAAAGTTCATTGAAAGAGTTGCGATGAACTAGGTTGAGTTATTTCAGTGAGCCTGTAAGATATATAGCCTTATTAGATGACTCCGCTATTGTTTAGAGCAACGTGTACTCACGGTTCGGCCAGCATCATCGGTAAGGCCGTCTCCTGGATTTTGGATGGCCGGTTGAAACCCATGCCGTACACACCGTTAAGCAGCTGTGGTTTGCTGCACAAGGAGGAAATACACATATTGAGCCAAGTCTGAAGGAAAACCGGTTTGTAAGCATTTCATTAAAAACATTCCAGTGTAGTAGCCCAAAAAGATCTACCAGTTAAAGGACAACAATAAGGAAAACGCCTGCAATAGATATGGGTTATGGGGAATATGGGGCATCCATGAACCATTCAAACGAAGCATTTATTTCTTCTTCTTTATTCCTTTATTGTAATATCTGTTTCTCTAAAATATTGAGAGGTGAATGGACAAACACAAGATTTACTCACAGTCGCAACTCCTCAAAAGACTTGACAGAGTAGAGCGGAGAGTTGGGATCTTTCTGAAGAACTTCCACTTGATTTGTGTTACTGACAAGATTACTTCTAATTAACTTGTTCAATAAAGACTGCGCCGCCTTGTCATCTGGAAAACAAGATATATTGCAATTACTGCAACAACTTAAGAGACAACAAGGCTAGAAGACAATCGTGAATGTCAGACAGCATCTACAGAGGATACATATGTTGTGGTATAACTATAACAGACCACCCACCTTTGTCGTCTTCATCTGCAGGCTTCTTTTCTGCAGGCTTCTTTTCTGCCTGCACTTCCGACTTTGCAGCTGCACTGCTGGAGTCTGTTGCTATTGCTGCCGTGCCTGCAATAGTAAATAAAATAAAAAGGGTTATTTTTACAACCAAAACCAGTGCTTGGTTGATTTAACCCACTAAATGTTGCACACACACTTACCATTTGCCTCTGGTTTCTCTTTTAATGTGAGGCCACCGATCTGTAAAGATAAACATATAGTCGTTTGTCTAACAAAATGATCTCTGGCATTTTACGAGTTAATACAGCATTATAGAAAAGAGGCACAAACTACTGCTAAATCACGGTTACTCCTTTACTAGAGCTGTTTTAAAGCCTCTTGCATCATTTCCTTAATAGGCAGCTAAATGCTAAAGCTAGTAACTAATTGAGCACGCAGCATCTCTGCTCGAGTTACTTAGCTTCCACGACAAAAAGACACCACAAGTTAGGTAAGTTTATATGACCTGTCTGTCAAAAAAGGCACGTTATTCAGTGTCAGCACTGTCGTTTAATAGTTCATACTTTAAGAAATCAGGATGAGCAGTTAAGTTTCATTTCAACAGCAATGGAACAGGCCAAAGCATCCTTTAAACATGCTAACAACACGTTAGCTCGTGTTGCGTAAGTTAATATTTACCGAGTCCGCCGCGGCTTCTTGCTCGTCCACCGCCTGTGCCCAAGAGTCCGTAGCCATTGTGGAGTAGTTTCTTCTTTAGTTATGTCACTCGGGATAACTCAACTAAGGAAACAAGCTCACAGTGAGGAGAGTCAGTAATGTGAAAGTAACTATTTTCCACAATGGCGTGCCGAAACCGTTTCTGGGCACCTGTGCAACCGCTCATATGTCCGGGTGGAAGGTGCCCCACGATGATAGTTCCTACTTTTTTTTAAAGTTCCCACTTGGTTTACAAAAACCAGCAAGCATGACTGACTCCTCAATTCCAAATTAACACAACTAATTTGCCTTGAATACATTTTATTTTTATTTTTATTTGGATTGGAGTCGGAATCTCATTAAACAGTTATCTTCAGAGCCTGTAGGTGGCATCAAAACGTTCTGTATAGACTCACCCTATCTAACTCAAACACACAAACATACACACACACACACACACACACGAACACACACACACACACACACACACACACCACACACACACGCACCACACACACACACGCGCACGCACACACACACACACACACACACACACACACCACACACACACACACACACACACACACACACACACACACACACATGTGACTGACAACAGAGATGATGCAGGTATTTTTGTTATTAATCCAAAGGGGCAGTCCACCTGCCCTAACAAAGAAGACAGAATATACTTTCTACAGGAAACCCAGACACCTAGTTTCATGTTGGATTTAAACATGTTTTCACTGTTTCAAACATTGTGCTGTTATTCGAAAAAAGAATGCCTCATAACTGTTTTGGTTATTCTAATTTTTTTGGAGAGACACCTTGAAAGAGGAGTGATTCTCATTATCCTAGCCTGGTTTCATCATCTCCCCCTTTGATTTATATAACCATGCATTACCTTAAGGTTCTAAAAGCCTTCACTGAGATTGCTGCAAACATTGGGGGATGCAACCAGTGTATCATCATCATTAAACAGTAACAAGCATACTGAGTGAGAGAAGCTGGATCCCATGTGTAGAGAAAACTCCTTTTGAAAGAGTAAATCATTACAGTTTCTTAACTTAATGTATATTTTCCACTCAATAAAACAACAATAATCATTAAACCCCGTATTAAAGCCACCGAACTCAGTTTTCTTAAAAGCGTATTGAAGAACAAAAGAGTCACTCAATAAATCTGATCGATTTTGGTAGTTAAGTATTGGACACTTGAGATCAGTGATCCCTGGATGATTCTGCTTGCTACTAATCTATAAGAGCCATTTGGGACCACAGTGTGTGTGTGTGTGTGTGTGTGTGTGTGTGTGTGTGTGTGTGTGTGTGTGTGTGTGTGTGTGTGTGTGTGTGCGTGTGTGTGCGCGTGCGTGTGTGTGTGTGTTTGTTTTGTTGTGAAAAAACACAACTTGCCCACTGGTGAAATTGGGGAATACAGCTTTCACTTTCACTAATTGTTGCCCTAAGAAACTACTCCCACAACTATTTGTTTTAAAGAAGAAAAACTTTATGTAAGTGCGCACTTCACAATTAGAGGGTTATTACAATGTTACCAGGGTCGTCATTGTAAGCGATTGGTAAGGTCTACCTTTGTTTAAATTGCAAAACAAGTAAAAGGATTGGACGTTTTAAATACATTTTGAATGGTTGAAAGGCCATTCCACCACCATCGAGATATCAATGTCGGAAGTCAAGAAAACTGTCTTGAGGGCAAAGGTTTTAAGGATTATATAATAGGCTATAAGGCGATTTCAATGTATTGGACCAAGGCAACATGCATTACACATTTAACCTACTGTAGGGAAGAACATTGCTGAGAAAAGATCTTTGAAATGTCTTCCTAATGAGTCATTAAGAGGATATTGAGATGGGGAACATAAGAAAGATTCACTGCCCGGAACTGAGAGTTTGGTGCTGTAGATGAAGCCAGGCTATTACCCAGAGTTGGCCCCTCTAAGGACCACGCAGGAGCACCCGGGGTCACCTCTGGAGCCAGATCGCTGCGGCTGGCCGCTGCTTAAATGCATGCAGAATTGATTTCACACGTTTCCCCTGTTCCACTGGGATAGATAGATGGATGATGACAGTGGCTTTGGATTGTGCTGAAGGAGATTACATTGATCTCTGTTCCGCTGTCATCCAACGGTCAACGCTGCTCTGTGCGTGCGTCATTCAAAGTGTATCTACATGTATGAGTGTGCATAGGTTAGTTGACGTGTAGGGAGTCTCTTAGATCGACAGTTTGGAGACAATTTTGTCAAAGGCTTGAAAGAGTGGAGTTTATTGTTGCCTCCAATCAGCTGCCTTGCCGGAGGTATCCATGGCAACTGAAAGAGTAAAAGTAAGGCTTGAGGTCTCCAGAGAATTTAGAAGAGACAGAGAGAAGGACTTTGTATTGCCACATAAGGACTCATTCCAAGTGCTGAATATGACAGAAAGGGTATCAAAGTGGGCGCAGTAGAAAATGGTGATCTGTGTGAAAAATCTGAAGAAAGGTAAACGCTCGGCACATAAATACATCATGTAAGATCTCTCAAACACTACTCCATGCTCAGAAGTGTACAGTATGTCACAGTCTATGTAGGCAGTACACACTCTTGTGCTCTCCAAAAATGTATACAGTAACACTTCAGTAGGGGGGTGCGAACACAAGAGCTAAAACTTGATGATCTGCCTCCACCGCAAAATACAAACATTGTAGATATGTAATGTAGAAAGACTAAAAGGTAGAGAAGGTAACAAAAAATGTGGTGCTTTTTTTAAGTATTAACAATTGCCTTTAAGTCAACCTTTTGAATTCTTACCCACAAAGGATAGTTGTTCAGGTATTTTAACTCTTCATCTGGAAGTTAGAAGTTATGTTGGTAAGGAGATATTTGGGGGAAGATCTTAATTCATGGAAAGACTTTTTTTCTCATATTTGCAAAATTTCAGGAAAATGTATGGGCACACTTTTTTCCCTTTTTTAATTGTATTTTTGGAAGTATGTGGTATACAGCAAAGATGTGTGAAGTGTTTGTTCTTAAGTGGTATTATAATGTGTCATACAATCCTGGGATGGTCCGGCACAATGTTTGTAAAACAAACACAGTCTTTTCAACGGAGTTACCAAGCACACAGACTGTAGACAAAGGGCTGGAGTGAAGGAATAACACCTGGAGGTAGAACTGAGCAAAAAGAAGCAGGCATAACTCAGCAACAGACGTTATGGAAGAAAATGAGCGCTAGCTGTTTCTAAAACATATTGTGGCTGAGGAGCAGCCATGAAGACAGGTGAGGCTGGACTCTGCAGTGACAGCTGGTGGGCAGGTGCAAAATGAAAAGTCAAAAGCGTGTTTACCTTGCTGTATTCTTGCTATATCACAAGATAACATGAAAAATAATCTTGTCAGGCTTCAACAAATGCATTTGATTTGTAATCACAGTGGATCAGACCAATCAGCATGCTGTGAGGAGCTAGGGACAGAGGTTAGCACCTTAATGGCAGAGTTCCAAAACAATCTGAATATTAAAACACATGTCTATAAGCCTTATAAAGTTGTTATGGCTAATCTGTTAGTGATCTTTTGCCTTATTAACTATCCACACATATCCATCCTAGTCTTTAAACCAGACTGAAGTTGGCTCATGTCTGGACGTGGTTATTCTCAAATCCAATATTCACTTCCTTTGAGCTCTGCTTTCCCAAACTCTTGAACAATATATCTGGTTCTCCAGACACTAAAGGTATGTCCAAAGATACTTTCTAACTGTGTGGGTCTGCTGTTGGTGCAGTGGAGTATTTAAGCGTGTTTGCTCCAACAGCAGCCAGTTGCAGCTGGAAACGATGTTGATGACGGTGGTGAGAGTGAACAGGTAAGTTGTATGCCATAGAACCCTAACAAGGAACGGAAAGACCCTAAAGCGCTCTTTGGAGTGGAGGGGTGCAGCAGAGTAAGATGTGTGTGGGTTGGTCACTATGATTAAAACCTTACATATAGTCATTTCACCTCATAGACATATTGACGAGTGCATCTTTGATATGTACGGTAAAGGTATTAATGCGATGCACAGCAGTCGAGGGAGGACAGGAGGATCAAGGGGTATTTGCCATGACATGAAACATATATTGTTTTAAATAATGTGTTGCATTACTTATGGTATTGATGGTTAGGGTAATCCTCTCTTCCCATTGGTGGGATTGAAAAACATGGTCACAGTGAATAGACACAACATTACACTCATATGTGAATGTTGAGATAGTAGCAACATTTTGTAGACGAATCCATTTCCAATCCATTATTCTTTGTCATATAAGATAGAAAGTTGAATATCTTTAGGTTTTGTTGGTTAAACCAAAAAGGAGATCAGGACATGATTCCCATTGATTAAGAGGCCTAGACTAAACCATGGAAAACCACCTCTATTTCTCATAGCAATTTACCTCTTATAGTTAGGGCTGATTAGATTCAGCCCCTAGTTTTGCTGCTATAGGCTTAGTTTGTCGGGGGACACCTTACTTCTTCCTTCTCTCTGTCTGCACCTGTGTACTCTCATGTTCCGAATAACCCAGCTTCCCCAAATTTCTTTTTTGGTGTCTATATACGCCGGGATCCGGAGTCATGGCTGATCGTGTTGCTGTGGTCCTGAGTCCTGGATCGCGAGCCCTGGATCTTGAGTCGTGGCTGTGCCTGCTGCTGTGGTCCTGGATCATAAGTCCTGGATGGATATCCTTGTGGATTCATCTTCTTATTATAGACACATGCATTTCCAAACATTTGGTCTACCTATGTTACAAATGTATTATCTTTTCAATTTACACACGGCATCTATTGCACATCTGTCCGTCCTGGGAGAGGGATCCCTCCTCTGTTGCTCTCCCTGAGGTTTCTCTAATTTCCCCTTTAAACTGTGGGTTTTCTCCGGAAGTTTTTCCTTGTACGATGTGAGGGTCTAAGGACAGAGGGTGTCGTATTGTCATACTGATATTCTGTACAAACTGTGAAGTCCACTGAGACAAATGTAACATTTGTGATATTGGGCTATATAAATAAACATTGATTGATTGATTGATTGACCTCTGAATTTAACTTTGTAGTTAATGTATGCATCCTACGCAATATGGCTTCCAAATATGGTTTCATTATAAAGACTTCCTGTGATGCTGCACTGACAGCAAAACTGTGTGTAAAACTATGCAGCAGA